ATGACTTGTTTTCAAAGATCTACATCTAGAGAACTAATAGCCTCAAGATAACTTAAACGATCACCATTAACAAGATAAGTATAGAAATCATCTCCAAAAGAGTTTTCTTTCGTTTGTCTCGCTCCTTCTAATACCTTAACACATATCTTCACTACATGCTTAACTAGGTTGTTTAAAACTATCATCATGATCTTCTCTAGTACTAGCATTGATTCTAACCTTTAAAGAAAATATGTCCTCAAAGAATTCAGCCTTGTTCGATGGCCTTACTTTTGAGGAAACCTATAGGCAATACTATGTTCTACATAACCAACAAACATGCAATCAGAAGTCTTAGGTCCTATTTTTCTTTTCTTAATTAATTAGGATCAAGTAACAACACTTTGGTTGGACGCTCTCAAGTACTTCAAGTTTGGAAGATACCTTTTCCATAAGCCATAAGGTGCCTTACCAGTTTTTCTATGTGGGATTCTATCCTATAAGAAACAACTACATATTCAAGTCAATTTATATGAATACCCTCACTTATTTATTGACTGCAATCAGGTACATATGAACCCTCTTGCACCTTTTCTTTTAATTCCTCTTTTATTTCATAGCATAGTACATTTTACATATAACTTCTAGTTACACTTTGTTGGCTTCTTGACTCTTTCTGGTGGCAGAGATAGAGAAAAGATGTTGGCATAAAAACAAATTCTTCCCTTCAATGTGATTCTGCAAACTGAAAATGAGACCAGTATTCCTTGACAAGCTGCCCAAACAATGATTTTTCATTCTTCATCAAGGTCATTGGCTCATCATACTCTGCCAGCTTTCCTATAAATACAATCACACATTTCATTTCATTAAAAGAGAACAAGAAAATGATAAAATGTCTTCTTCACCCTTTATTTGTGATAATAGTTAACTTGTGACATTAAGTACATAGATTTTACATGTTCACATTTTTGTCACTAAAGTGAAAACGCTGAATCAACTACTTCATTTTTCTTAATATCTTTGTTGTGTGTCTAACCAAATAATCAGGACCATATGGATGAACCAGTATTTTTACTCTCAACTTGCCCACTTACCAGCAAAATGTTATGAGGTCAATAGTAGAAAATGACAATAGAGTTATGGCTTAGTCAGACAAAGTGCATGTTTAACTGAATTAAATAAAGGCACTCAATATGCAACTGACCGTCACTGATGGCAAGAACCATAGTGCAATCCATCACGGTTGGTATCCTGTGGGCCACAGTGATTACTGTGCAATTTGCAAACTCAGTCTTAATGGTTTTCTGCAGAATCAAATCGGTTGCATTATCAATTACAATACATGTGTTGGGGTAGTAAGGGTGTCACAAAATCTATTTTTACAAATTTATGAAACAATTTTTATTTTCAAATATAATATTTATTTGTATACATAATCTATACCTATTATAAATGGAATAAGTTTTGGTAACTACCCTTTTAGTTTTCATTTTTATATTGGACACTATTACCTTTAGATTTAACAAAGTTTATTCTTTCAAATTTTTTTCAAAAAATATATATATAAAGACACGAAGTGTCTTTTTCCCTACTAGTTTATTATAAATAAGATATATATAATAAACATTCAAGTTGTGCATTGGTAGGAGAAATTTGTTTTTATAATCAGAAATCATGATTCTTGCAAATTGCAAATTATAAGAATCATATTTATGAGAATAATTAAAATTTGTTTGGTTATTTATAAAGTTTATTAAGAATATTCATACAGGATTCCTGGGAATTAAATATTTTTTTACAAAAATATCTTTTATTAAAATAAATTTATTAGATATATTTATTTACTTAAATTTTGTTACAAAATGACATTAAACTATTGTAAAAGTTGAAAACTTATAGTTAAAACTATTTAAATACAAAATTCAATAAAAAAATAAACAAAGAAAAAAGCTACATAATAAACAAGAAGGATAAAAATATATTATATTATTTCATTCAAATAAAAAAGTGTTAACAAATACTATTAAACTTTAAAAATAAAACAAATTTCAATAATATTATATAAATTGACAAGGTCAAGAAATAATGAGATACAACAAAGAGAGATAAATCGAGATATGAGAGGGAGAAAGGGGAGCGAGAAAGAGGGAGAGGGAGAGAGGGGAATGAGAGTGACATGGAGAGAGGAAGAAAGAGAGATAGAAAGAGAGAGGGAGAAAGAGAAACAGAAAGAGTGAGAGGGACAAAGAGAGAGAGAGAGAAATATGACACTCCTATAGAGATGCACTCCACTAATGTAGCATTGACATGATAAGAAAATATAAGATTAGAAAATAGTAAAAAAATAATTATCTATTTATATGAATATCCCACTTATGATTTTTTGATTTTGGATCTTTGTTATCGTAGTTTGAAGTGGCTTTCTAATTTTAAATGAATTTATGACTTCAAGGTTGAATTATTGTTGTGATTTTGATTAGATTTGTGTAGTGTTGTTCTTATCTATACCTATTATAAAAGGAATAGAAAGTTTTGTAATCGTTTTTTATCTCTATTTTTTAGTGAACTATTATACTCTCAAATGTTTAGAAAATGATTTCTTATACTCTCTTTAAATAACTACCTATAACCATCTGATATCATATCTATATAATTATTGGAGATACAAAATAGTTGAGCTCCTCTAGTTGTGATAAAAGAAATTGTTCTTGCAGTACAACTTTCAATTTTTTCCTTTTTTATTTTCAGTGAAAGAATACAAAACGTATAATTTTCCAAAAGCCACTTGAAAGGGACAAGAGAATAACATGGGTTACGAATAACCTCATTTTTCCCTCTTTGATCATGTGATAGAATTATGGTTTTTTTTAATTTATTTTCATAACATTTTGTAGCGATGATAAATCACACAAAATCTTTACATTTAACTATTCTACTTGTACATAAACGAGGGTACGCCAGTAATTCCATCACTTGAGTCTTCCCTTTTAGTCTTTTTCCGGATACTTATACCTCTTATGTGTAACAAACTCGATAGCATTTGGTTATGCTTGTCCGAAAGGATGAGAGTAAGGTTACCTGCAAAAGACACTCCAAAGCTAAAGTTAGTCTTCGATTCTAGACAAGTCAACGACAATTAATTCTATAATATATGCAAAAGTACCATTTTCTCTCTCTAACATCATTATTTATACTTACCTTATTAGGTCTAGGCCCATAGAATAGGCCCATTAAGGATTATGTTGTTGCAAGTAACCAAATATTTTTTTATTAACTATTAGAACATATCGAAGAGTCTTCGACTTTTTCCCTTACCATGCCCTTTCGGTATACATGCCCCTAGGCTTTCAAGAAAATTTTTATGGATATTAATTTTTTTTAAGGAGTCCTAAAGTCACATGTCTTCAAACCTTAAAACCCTTTCATTTCTCTTATTCATTCTGACACCACCATTTTTCATTAATGGTTGTAACTTTTAGAATTTGAAAGGTTTTCAATCACATCTGTTAAATGTTGAGCCAATGAAGAGTCATGATTGTAACGACCCGTATTTGGTCCCACATCGGATAGCTCTCTTATGCTTCTGTCTCCTAGTTGGCTATATAAGAAACCCTCTGGCCAAGGGATTAGGGGACGAAAAAGAAAGCTACATAGTTATTTTCCCTTTTGGCATACATCACACAGTTTATTTTTCTCAAATTTAATTTTTGTTAAACCTATTACTAAATCTTTTGAGATTAATTTATTTAGGTGTTCCACGTTTATGTGAGCAATTCTTTTATGCCAAAGCCATGATTCATCATCTTTACTCATGAGGCATTGAGAATGATTAGTATTATTTTCTATTTTTATTTTATATACATTATTAATTCTAAATCCAACTATCTTAACATTTTTATCATTTTTGTGTTCAATTAGACATTTTTGTGAGTCAAATGATATAGAAAAACCTTTATCACAAAGTTGGCTAACACTTAATAAACTATGTTTAAAACCTTCCACAAGTAAGACATTTTCGATGGAGGTTAAGAAATTTGTACCAATTCTTCCAATGCCAAGTATTTTTCCTCGGTTGTTGTCTCCATAGTTACATGTCCACTTCTCTTAGGAGTGAGGTCAATGAATTTTGAAGCATCTCCTGTCATGTGCTTCGAACATCCACTATCAATGTACCAAGTTTGATTTTTGGAATCCTTTTCTTTGCTTTCGTAATCTTTGGCCATGAGTCCCAAATTTACAACTTCATTTTCAAAGTCACTTGTAGAATCCATGTCATTTTCTTCCCAAGTGATATAAGTTTTCTTCCCTTTCTTTTCTTTGAAGCTTTTCTTGTTGGACTTTTCCAATTTTCTTTTATAGATTGGACATTCTAATCTCAAATGTCCCGGTTGATTACACTCATAGCATTTTGGGGTTAAAGAAGATTCTTCTCCTTTCTTCTTTATGTTGAAGTTGAATTTTCCTCTATTTCCTTTATTCCTTAGGAATTTTTTGAATCTTTTTACAAAGAGACTGAAATCTTCATCATCATCATCATCTTTCTCAATGTTGTCATCTTTTCCATTTTCTTCATGAGAGGATGAAGATTCCTTAAGTGCTATACTTTAAAAAATAAAGAATGAATGTGTCAACTAGGGAGGTTAAATGGAGTTAAACTCTCCAAGTAACCTACCTCAAAATCAATATACAAACACTAGAAAAAGCTAGTAAAGTGCCTCACAAATACAAAGGCAAAAATAACCTATACACAAGACTATGTATAAACTGTACAATATAAACAAGTAGAACTAAGGCCTTCTCTTCATGATAGAGCATTCCAAGTGAAGATTATCTTGGGCCTGACAAGCCCATTAGTCTTCTCTAGATCCAACTCTTCCTGTATCCTCCTAGCCATAGCTCTGGTCACTGGGCCCTTGGCCCATGGTCTATCACGTTTCCTACGTCGTTGATTAGGGGGTACAATGGTACGCCCAGAGGATGCTGGGGAGCGCGTCGGCCCATTGTCCTTTGGCGCTTCACAGCCACTTCTTGACCTCTCGGAGGATCACTTTATTTGCGGCTTCGGCCTGGCCATTAGTTTGGGGGTGCTCCACCGAGGTCGGGAGGTGTTTCACACCGAGCTCACGGATGAAGTCTTTGCAGCTCTGTGCGATGAATTGTCTACCGTTATCAGTAACGAGGGAATGCAGGATACCAAACCTGCATATGATGTTCTTCCAGGTGAACTTCTATATGTTTTCAGTGGTAATCTTAGCGAGTGGGCATGCCTCGATCCACTTGGTGAAGTAATCGATTGCTACTAAGAGGAATTTGAGTTGACCCTTTGTGGGGGGAAATGGTCCGAGGATGTCCATTCCCCACTAGGCAAAAGGCCACGATGACATCATATGGTGGAGAGCTTCGGGCGGTTGCCGATGTGCGTTGTCAAACTGGTTGCACTCTTTGCATTTTTGTACATAGGCTTGGCAGTCCGACTTCAATGTGGGCCAGTAATACCCAACTCGGAGTACTCTGGTCGCCATTGAGCGTGCTCTGGAGTGCATACCGCATATTCCTTGATGTATCTCCTTGATGTATCTCCTTGATGACATACATGGCTTGAGGCTCGGTTAGGCATTTGAGCAATGGGGTGGAGATGCCGCGTTTGAACAGTTCGTCTCCGACAATGACGAACTTATCTGACCTTACCCTCATCTTCCGAGCTTCATCTTTATCCTCAGGCAATATAAATTCTTCTCTTTTATTTATTATTTTTATTTATTATTTCATTTATTATTTTATTTATTATTTTATTTCTTTATTTATCATTTTATTTATAATTCTTATATGCCAATAAATAATCATGTAGAGAATAGGTATTTTTTCATCATGTAAATAATATTAAATAATAAAAGGGGATAAGATATTTACCTATATTGGGCTTTCTAAAACAACTTGCTACATTACAATGATTCTCTTCTTTTTCACCTTCCTATAAAATAAGGTTCATTTTTACCATTCATTTTACTTTGGTATCGAAGACCTTGATCTACTATTATCTCGCATCGAAGCGTTTTCAACCTTTCTACTTTTAGTACTCTTCGTCTTTCCTCTTACAAATAATCATGAGCCATACTTCTTTGACTTTTTTTTCTTCTTATTCTTCATTTTCTTTCGAGGATGTCTCATCTCCCCCCTATTGGATCGTCAAACTCCACTGATATGTAAACGTCAATCCAACCTGATAGCTCCCTAGCCTAAGACCTTGTTTTTCCCTCGCACTCTGGTGGCATAGATGATACTTATGACTCTAAGTCTAAAATAGTTCCCAATTTTGAGTGGGTTTGCAAAGAGGT